CGAACACGGACACGCGTTCGCACACTCGCAGGCGATCTTAAAACGGCGATTTCTTATTATCATAGTGATTTCTTATCAGCGATTTTATTGTTCAACAATTCGTCCATTAAAACAGTACGAACATATAGTAAGTCAAAAAAGTATACATACAAGTCTCACTACGGAGAAACTATAGTGCTGATTAACTTAATCTCAAGAATCTCCCATCACATCGCCGAATCGACGTATTAATGTAACTAAACGATCACAACACAGAGGGGAATCGCACGATCATCCGATATCTCTTTCTCTCAAAGTTATGCTTTACATAACAAGATAATTAATTACGCAGCCTCATTTTTTGTCCACAGATACGCACGATCGTTTATCATTGTATATGTTGCTCTTCGACCAATGAGCCGTGGAATGAAAAACACCGAGGATATATCGATCCTGGCCCGATTTTTTTACTCGTACCAATTTACAAATGTACAAAAAAGAAGAAAAGGAAAAGTATCTCTTGAGCGGGGATGGTCTCTTTTGGATTACAACAAGCCTTAATTCCCATTCTATGTATGCAACAATCGCTCTTCTCTCCGTGTAAAGTACGTATCTAGGGGAACTGGAAAAATGTGTAAGTTTTGTGTACGTATGTCGTGTCAATTGCATGTGTATGTTTACAATATCCGAGGAGACCAGGATTTGCTCACAACCATACTTAACCAGCAGTCAGTCATGTTATGTATATTAAAAATCGTGACTTTGCGCGCGTGCGCACGCTTTGAAAAATCGGCTAGAAAACTATGAGCTAAACGTCCTTACGCAACATGGTTGCACAGCGGGATTTATTATAATTACGCCAACACGGATTCCCCGGTGGCAGGACAGTGATATAAATATCTGAGACTTTCTCTCTTGTTTTTCTCTATGTTGTGCCTATATGGACCTCGCGTACGCACGCGCACGCTCGTGCTCTCATCTGATCAGATATCAGCTGATCGAAAATTACAATCATATGTGCCGCTCGCTATTGGATTTATCGCACGAACAAATTTTATTCGCAAGGACGATTCGCGTAAGCACACGTGATCCGCGTATGCAACAATTGCAGTCTAGAATATTATGTACAAGTACGGGAATACCGCGGCGGATACGACTCGCACTAAGCTGCGCCGGGAGGAAAGCGTCCCGGAGTAACGTCTCTTCCAGTCTCTTCTCGATTCGTTCTCTTTCCACGCACGCGTATCATCCAGTATCAGGCATTCATCGGATCACTCATTCTCTTTCTGCGTCCACTGATATAAATGTAGAACGACTGATTGTTTCGACGGTCGCTCGCTAATTGCGTTTTAAGCTTACAAAAGAAAGGAACGATGCTCTCGCGGTATGTCGATAGTAGGAAGATACAGATAATTAGAGAAGAAGAGGGAGAGAATGAAAGATAAAAATTCATAGAGTAACTTATCATCTCCTTGTTTTCAAGCGTATTATTTTTCAAGATGTTTGACGGAGTTCTCTCCCTCTCTTCTGTCTCTCGTTTGCCTTTTATCGTATGAGAGCACGCACGGTCGAGTATACACTACGGCACAAATATGCAATAGTTTCGTAAGTACATAGGTTTCCTGTTGTCGGACGTGCTTGCCGAGAAGTACTTAAGATATTCAATGTGGATACAACGTGGTGTACAGGCATGTTACATAGTACGTATGAGCATATACATCTTGGGAGCGGTATGAAGTCATTGGCCAGACTAGCGTGTAGGTGTGGACATTGGACGTAACACATGTTTCTTCATACTCGCCACCTCCGTGTTTCTACTCCTCACTCGATCTCTATACCATTCACCGTGTTCCTGCAAAAAGAAACAGACTTGAGTTAACTATACCTTTGAGCAAACAAATAATAGATACTAGTCTAACGGGAAATGTTTTCTCTGGGAAATTCTGAAAATGGAAAGACTGAGTTGTTAACATTTCGTAGAAACTTTTGCGAATGTTTAAAAAAAATTATGCTTAAATTTCCGATTTCTTCTTAATATCAAACAATAAGTTTGCAAATCTTTTCTGAATTTTTTACTGGTTCTAATATATTTATATTTTAAGAAATATTATAAATCCATATAATTTTTGTATTTAAAGCGAGAAAATTTTATTCAAAGTCGAATTTAAGTGAGCAATTACAAAATAATATCTCTCTCTCATTAATAAGTAATCACAATCAAATATCCTTACTTACTTGTTTAATCAATATGACTGTTGAGATCCTTGTTGTGTTCTCCAAATTTTTGTACGTATTTTCTGATTTGTCTCTTGGTCGTTTAAATGTTTCGTCGCGAGCCATTAGCAGAAAATCGCACGTCTCACTTCGTGTTAATCCCTAGAAATGCCTCGCGACGGTAAGGTTCTCCTCATCATGAAAAATAGTGGATTAAATATGTTTGCAACAGAGAGAATTTGTTACAAAGTGAATTTTTACGTTATGGCATGTATTCGATGATTCATTTCTTCCGTTTCGTATTTAGATCAATTTGTCTCGAAAATCACATAAATTTAGTTTTAATTTTTATTATTGATTGCGATGACGTAGGTTTTTATATCATGAACACTGAAATAGAATCAAGCGTGGACACGTCGTTGATTTTTTCCTTTCTCTCATTTGTTCGTTAATTTCCTTTTTAATAATCGAAAACGCGCATGGATGAAGAAACAAGAACTGTCCACGAACGTCGCACTCTTTTCGCAGAGGAGATAATTCGTATCGAAAGAAATGCTTTTCTTTTCTGTTTCTTTTATCGTTTTTTTTTTCTTTCTTTTCCCTTTTTTTTAATCGATACACACTGGTGGTGGAACACGAATTTGACTGCAATGTCACATAATTTCGGCTATGTCACATAATTTCCTCGCATTTACGCATTACTAAATTTTCATTATATACGCTATAGAGTCTACAGACAGAAAAAACCTTACTTCATCGATATGTTATGTAAAATGTAATTGTTTCAATTGTTCATCGCGATAGATCACTTTCTCACATGATAATTTCATTTTGGAAGGCATGAAACCGAATTCTATGATATTGCTTTGAAAAATGTAGCACGGAAATTGTGTGCGAATTCTCTGTGTGATTTACGTCACCGTTATTTAAAAAGTACGGGTGTACGCGAGTGGATAGAAAATTATCATAAATAAAACGCGAACGATATCATGATCGTATCGAGCTATTCACAAAAAGATATTTCGCATTTCAAGAAACTTGTAGCAAAACTTCCTTAATATATATTAATTACGATTCATATAGTGATGATAGAACTATCGTGCATTTATGATCCCCGTGTAGAAAAAATAGGCAGTGTACATACACATATCAAAGAAATTATTTCGACAATTAACGTATTGGGAGTTTAGATTTTAGTATGGATTTTTATATATGGATACGATTTTCAGTTATCTCGATAGCGCTTATTAATAACGCTAATGCTAATGTTGTTCTTTCACACACACCTCCTATAATATATAATTCAAAATTAAAGTTGTATAAAAATTATTTACTATATACGGAAGGCTCGTATATACTACATATACCCTAATATAAATATTTCAATGTATTATAATCATTCTGTATCACTTGGACGGTGGATTAAAAAAAATCGAAATAAGAAAGTTCTAATAAAATCAGGAGAGCGCAAACTTTCACTTTACACAATGCATAGCACTATATGTTCTCACGATTCATTCAACACATGATTTATAATTTTTATACTTGAGGGCAAAATAAAAGCACTTATTTACAGATATACCCAATGTCTTTTTCAATTCCATCTCTGCGGTCAAATATATGTGTAATCGTCGTTTTTTTATTCTTTTTCAGTTTCATGCCTTTCAAGAAGATTATAATCGGATTTCGTGACAATCGAAATCACAATTATAATAAATTAAGGAACACGCTATGCTCGCTTATTCTGCAGGACTGTGAATATAATGAGATCTGCGGTAAGTTCAATTCGTTATAATTCACAGTTATACATGCGATCGCACGACGAGTCGCCAACGTGTATTCATCGCACAACGCGGCGGTGTATTAAAAAGCGTCCCCGTGTTTCAAGAAGAGAGTCATAGGCACAACAAACAAGTTCTCTCAACATCGGTACGTCAATTCCTTCTTACTCCTATGTAATGCAGATGTGATTCAGTTGGTTTCTCGATACTGAAACGTCATGGCCGTCGTCATGGCCGACGACCGTTCTCAGTCAACAGCGACGTGTCAATATATTGATGACATCGATAACAACGTAATTGATAAACGCGATGGTGATAATGACAATGGAAATGACGATCATGACCAACGATGATGACAATGATGATAAAGATGATCAACATAATAATAATATCAATAATAATAATGAAATAAAATAAAATAATGAAGAATAATCATAATAATAATAATAATCGTAGTACCTAGTAGTAGTAATGGTAGCAGTAGTAAATAGTAATAGTAGTGGGTAATGGGCAGCAACAAGATGAAATGTAATCATGACAATAGTAGCAATAATCTAATAGCATGAGGTCACTTTTCTTGGCTAAACGAGAGGATTTATTCAGTAAGTAGGTAAGTGGATTCGCTAACGTCTTAACTTCTATCAGTAGCTCAAGGCCACAAGGAATATTCATCAGCCTGTTTGTAAAAATGAGGGAAGAGTGTAAATTAAACGAAACTACACGATACATACGAGGCGCATCTAAAAAGATGAATATCGGTGGCTAGAAATTCATTGATCTTAGTGACATGGAAATTTAATCATCAAATAATTGCATTTATCAATCATGAAGATGAGAAAATTACGTCTCGTCGAATGAACATGTGAAAACATGCAAAAATTTCATTTTATATTGCACTAACTTTGCTCATCACAATATTTACTTTGAAAATATATTACAATAGATATATCCTGAAATCTTATTTCAGCGCTTAATTTAAGATCAAATTAATTAAATTTTCATCGAGCAAAATTCCATATAGTCGCACTATATCCTTATTAACCAATTTCCATCTGTCTAGATGTACTCTGTTTAAAAAAATGAGTCAAGGAAAAAGAAATTTCTGGTAGCTTCAGATAAAGTTCAGTGAATGTCCGGCATCAATGTATCAGGTTCTCTGAATAGAGTTTTAAGTAAAACCGATAATTGACCGCGCTTTCATCGTAACACATAACCAAGACAATTCTGATCGCAATGGTACTGATATTACTACAGAATTTCACTACACTAAGGAGCGAGTGCCTGAACCGTCGTCAGCGAGTCCGCTTATTTATCGAAGAGATCAGCTCGATTGGCCAGAGGAAAAGCAGCTTCATTCTCTCGATCTCGACTTTGTCGCGCAACCGTCCAATTAATAATAATAGCGGCGATGTAGAATGATTGTGTGATAGTGTTGATGACAATGATGATTCAGTTCGACAGTGGCGGCGGCGTCGGCGTCGGCGTCATCGTGACAGTGGTGTGCAGCACCGAGTCCCGTGACGCGGATCGGCTGCCGACGCGTAGCAGAGTGACGGCTTCTCTCTCAGGATCAGCGCTGCCTGTGATACCACCCATTGTACCTGCGCCTACACGTACTCCCGTTCCCGCGCCGCGCTTGCCAGTCCTTGACGTTGTGGCGACGACTTCCACGGTCTCGTCGGCACTATTACCCGCGCACTGCACCGCCCCCCCGAGACCAACGGTAACGGACAGTCATTTCTGTCTTCCACTTTTCTTCTTCTTGCGCTTGAAGAAGCAACAGCATCTGGAAATGAAGCAAACACTAATAGGACTTAGAGTCGTCTCCTTGGCAGTGTCTTTCGTTGATCAACACATCGAGCATGCAGCAGAAGGAAAATAATTACATTCGACATATCGAGCAATCACGCAATACGAGAGAAAGAAATTTGTCAATCTCTCAATAAGATACTAGATAAAATTATCTAATTACATATAAATATAGTTATTTGTTATGATAATTAATCATGCAGTTATTATTCGATATTATCAAAACTCATAGAGGAATAATAAGGAAATAGGAACAACAGAAAAGAGTAGAGAATACGGGTAAACAAAAAAATATAGACATTTAATTATAATTGCACCAAATATTGTATAAAAAGAAATACATTGTTTTGATATTATTAGTACAATATAATTGAAAAGATGGAGCATACGATTTGCTTAAGTCAAATTATCTAAATTATGCATAAATAAATAAATAAAATTCTTTCTCTCTGATTATATCTATGCTGTTTGACATAATATATTAACGATGTAACAGTCAAGTCTCTCCGTATGAGATAACATAATAAAAATATTTAAATGTAATACAAAGAAACATTTATTTTGTTTCACGATAAAGATAAATAATTATCTCTAAACTATTTAATCAAATCTTGCCCCTATCTTATATAGCTATATTGTAAACACGATTTCTATTATGAGAACAAATAACGAAACTTGAATACTACATTACTATTATATTTTTGTTCTTAGGTAAAAGTATTAGCATAAATACGTTCACCCCATTATAATTTTATATTTTATTCGTGGCACTGATTTTCTTGTCATTATCAGTCTAGAAATAAAATTTCTATAACAATTAAGCTTAATAACATTTAACGAATATTATATTTTCTTCTTATATTGCGAAACAAAAAATCTTGAACTGACCATTTCAATTGGTGTAACAAACCTAGTTCGGGAATGAGGGTAGGATAAGTACTGGAAATATATGCTTGTAAAGATCGGAACAATAACTTTCCACATCGAGGACAACATTTCCGTTTTAGTGAAATTACTTTTCTGAAAATAACATATACACACACATGCATGACTTAGATCGCTCATCTATAATAATTTAATTTAATCTAAACTTTTATATCTTTAACAAGCTACTATTATTTTTATTCTGACTTTAATATTTACTTCAACAGTCGAGGATTATACTAAGGCTTCTCTTATATATATAAGTATTTCTTATATATATGGTATATATATATATTTTTTTTTTTACTAATATCTCTTATATATATATTTTACTAAAATTTTTAATAAAATTTTAATAAAATTTTAGAATACTGCACAATAAATGCAATAATAAATGAAAAAAAAACACTCGCGGAAAAGTACAGAGAGAGACGAAGAAATACAATAAAACAAACTGCTACTAACTTGGTTTCGTCGATCATGTCCACTTCCTGAGGCGCTGTGATTGGTGTATTAGAGTGACCAGCGGTAGGATCATCGTTAGCCAATTCTCCATTAGTTGACGATACCACCTGAACACATCGTGTAACATTATTGCAAAGATTGGTAAGAAAACATACACGTTTTATATTAAGGGGTTTTTACGTAACTATATTGATTCTCTTGTTTTGGATACTGGATATGAAGAGATTTGAAAAGAATCCTTTTTGCATTCTAGTTGGATTTAAAGTGATATATACACTGAAAATCGATTTGTTTCAAATCTACTTGCAAATTACATAAAGAACCAAGTAGGATCTTACGTGACAAAAGGGTAAGAGAAGTGAAAATTTAATATAAGACAAAACTAGTAAACTACTACTGATACATAGATTTAAAGCAATATACTAAAGAAATAAAAAGAAGCGTAAGTAATAAATTCTGATCTTCCTCAAAAAGTCATACGGTTCGTACGTGATGATGATACTTTTTATTATTGCAAGTGCATGGGAAGACAAGTGATCGTACTAATACCGGATTAGTATCTCATATCCAATCAAAAAAAGAAGGTAAGTCTCACAATCGACACAAAGACAACATGCCGCAAGTCAAATTGCACAGACTTCTAACTGACCATAATCCAGTGGTGCTTTGTCTAGAAATAGAGCGAACAGTTTACTCCTGATAAATTGAGACATCCCATATACGTCGACATTATGAGAATGAAAGACGAGAAAGATGATAGTTAGGGAAGAACAATGAATAATTTCGTTTTTAATCGATCTTTCCATATACACGAGTCTATATAGTTTTTAAGTTTTATGCAAAGAAAAAAAGAAAGTACAAGATAATATTTAATGTAAATTTAAAGTTTTAATGTTGCGTCGCTAAAAAAAAAATAGCGTTTTCATCGCGGGATTACAAGTGAATCGGCAGAAAATAAACGAGAAGATGCAAAAAAATCGAGAAAAAGGGAGAAGCTTCTGGAAGTCGAGAGAATGGCACGAGAGAGGAAGATGCGCAGGTAAACTCACCTGTACAGAACCATGCCTGTCAGCAGGTGTCAATGTACCACCGGCTCCTGATTGCTTCACAGTATCTGGCCACGTGGCTCCCACCCCCTTACCGCCCCCACCTCCCACCCCTCCACCTGCCACATCCTGAAGGAACAAGCATGACAATTTCGCAGTTGCATCGCGTTAAACAATGTCCGCGAATAAACGTGAAGGACAGTAGAAAAAAAAAGATGTTGAGGAAAGATCCGGAAAGGAAATCTTTTAGGATGTACAGCATGGTGATCTGCGATGATAAACGCGCATTAATAAGATTCACCTAATCCGATATTAATCTCTATATTAGAGGGATGAAAACGCGGTTCGTTCCCTAATGATAAATGAGATAAATGAGTACATAATAATCTACGCGTTAAATATTTTTATACGTTTCATTCCGATGAACTATAAGGAAAAATACAATAAATTTCCTGGCTCTAGCTTATTACAAGCCGATGAGCTACTTAAGCAACCACGGCGAAATTACTTCTTCATGCATAAATTTATCGCTATCGCAAGTTTCTGAACGTATATCTATAATTGAACGTATTGTCTCGCATGTCTACACGACTTCCCTACGGTCTATCATTTATGTTTAGTCACTTTAATAATACTGATGCACGAAAAAAAATTCATTACAGTTATCAGTCTGTTAATCGACTATTGATCTAAAAGATGCGAGTTCACTCTCCACGATTGTTAAATCTCACCTCACGCGACCTTGTTTTATGATCAGTAAAACATTAACAACATTATAAAATGTGACCGCGGGTATCTTTCCGACTACGCACATTTATCTCGTTGCTGTTTTGCTGATAAGATAAAGAATGCATGAAGAAGTCGATTCATCGAACGTAACCTATAAAATTGGCTTACATATCGGCCTTGCAATTCGAAGCGAACCTCATCCATCATGAGGATCACATCCTCCTCGAAATCATCGTACTCCTACAAATTGATGTCATCATATTCGCTTTGAATTACACGCTCGGAGAAACCAGCATATATACATGTCGGTTTCTGACTTAATAAATTAATATCGGTGCGTCGATACCTTCGAAAGATTTGTTCGTTTGATCTACATCTTTATCATGAGATAAACAAGAATTCTGAATCAAGGTCGTTGTTAAAACTCTGTTTTCGGTTCTTTCGCTACTGAGGCGTGTATCCATGCGGTTAACTCGAATAACAAATGGGCTACACACGTCCATGCTTTTGGCTTAGAGAGAAGAAAAGAAAAGGTAGAAAAACAGAAGAAAACATGGAATACCTTGTAAGCGGCGGGATGCCGATCGCGATTTGGTGATACGACGATCTCCTGGCCAGTTTGAAGGGATCCGACGGGCGTCGACTGTAATGAGAGAGAAAACGTTTGCTTGATATATACATATATAATGAATGAAAGTTTGTAATGAGCGCTGTTATCGCGCGTTTCTACGTATTTCACGAGGTATATAGATAACATACTTGGAGCTGGAAAGCGGATAGACAGACAGACAGACTTATTGACGGACTGTGCACTTTAATTTACGCTTAACAGAAGACCTGTGACATCACAATCACGTTAGATCCCTGTATACGTAAGGCCAGTTGGCCGTGACAAATGATAATTAAAATTAGACATTCTCAAGGAAGAGATTGACATCGTTTAGACAACTTCTGATTGGTCCATATTTTTCAGAACTTACTTAAGATAGAATGAGATGAGTATGGATATCTCATTCTATCTCATGCATAATTTATCTGATTCTATCTTTAGCAGGTCCTGAGAAATATAACGGACTAAACTTATGGTGTTCAATCTCTTATTTGAGGATCTTTAGTTAGAATATTGTAACAACGCAGAGGTGTACTTTATGACATTTAAGAATTATATATATTGCAGTTTGCAAAGATATTGAAACTCAATTACTCAGCCGCAATTATCTAAGATATTGTCACTGCTCGTAAGCCACCACCAACCTTGTCGGACTTAGTTTTGCCGATATGCGAGGGGACCGCCATCCGCAGTGCTCTCAGATTCTCGAAGTCGGATGGCTAGAGATAGTGCATTGAGAGATAAGGCAGCATGCAAACGTTAAAATCAAATTTGAAACTGCTCTTCGGTACTGCATAGCTCTATGTTGCGGGTCTGTTGGAATATAGGCGGGCGATTTACTTACCCAATTGTCAGAGTCTTACCTCGACAAGTTATTATTCAGAAAATTGATTGATAAAAAAAAATTACATACACTCGAAGATTTCAATTTAGAAAATAGAAGCAATTGGAAGCAACAGAATCCTTTTTCGAAAAAAAGAAATAATCGAAAAGAATTGAACTTTGCACCGTCAAATCGTTTGCAAATAATATTGCTATCATTTTTACTGTATTTATATTTCAAAGATCAGAATAACACTTCATGCTTCGTAAAGCTTTTCTAATTATATAAGACTGTTCATAAATAAATAACACAGATGATAAAATCCTTTTTTCGTTATTGGATAGAAACAAATATATAGATTACGTCAATGCAAGATCATGCTTCAATTGTCGATTCATTTTCTCTTATTAGCTACAACTGTTATCACCGTTGTTCTCCAATATAATAAACGTTAACATGCATACCATTGATGTCATTGTTTTCGTGAATTATCGGATAAAAAATGTATCGAACATGACATTCACCAAAGCTTTTGCAAAAGCTTTTTGCATAACATGAATAAATAGGGTCGAAAATCGTCACGATCATTCGATACGTACCATCGTCTTGCCGGTCCAGTCAAATTCACCGTCATTGACGAAGCCACGTCTCTCATACAGATCGTGGAAGAGCTTCCTCAAGTACTCGTAGTCTGGCGTCTCGAAGAAGTCCAGCCTGCGTACGTAGCGTAGATACGTGGCCATCTCCTCGGGATGGCCGTCGCAGAGCACCTCGATCGGTGTCGCTCGTTTCGTGTCGCCAATCTTTTGATAGCGCTCCTTCAGCGTGTCGGCCTTCAGCCCTTGCCACGGCAGGCTGCCACGCAAGAAGTACATGAACATATGACCCAATGCCTCCAGGTCGTCTCTTCTGCTCTGCTCTGTTTATGGTAAAACATACCTTTCGTATACACTTCACTCAACTTTTAACATTATCCATGTAATAAAAAATTTCATTGCTCACAACATATATTAGAAGATATAGAATTTAAAAAAAGAATTTCAGCAAACGCGTTATAAAAATGATATATTCGCGATGGTCTGATCTTCAGCAGGTACTGCAAAGTTCTGTTAAGCCTTCAGCCTTATTGCTATGGTTATTTATGTATATAATTCCATATTTAAAAGATGATTAAAATTTAAATGATTTTAATTTATATATATTACTTAAAGTCTGAAAGAAAGAGATCCCCCTCCCCCTTCATGGTATCCGCTGAAGATTAAAACATTCACCGCGCTTTCTCCCAGCTAAGAGACGACGGCTTAGCACGTGGCGGTTTATGCAGCACAATGCGCGCGTGCGCACACATACGCACGTATACGAAACAAAAGTAAACGCCCGTTACCTTTGCCAAGATGCGTGTTAATGCTCATGTAACGCGCCGTGCCGGTGAGACTCTTGTGTTCCCGATACGGTATATGCTTGTTCGTTTCCAGGTCTATATACTCTTTGGCTAGTCCAAAATCGATTATGTGAATAACTTTTTCCCGCTTGGTAGTGGATCGTCCTATCAGAAAATTTTCCGGCTTGATGTCGCGGTATATCAAATGCCGACTATGAACATATTCTATCCTATGGAGCTGTTGAAAAAAAGAGACACATTTTGCATATTTTATTTTATCAAACAAAATTATAGGTTTTTATTTTCGCAGTGCATAGAATGTACAATAATATATAGCTTTAGATTTTATTTTTCTGTTTAACTGAAATAGTATAGTTTCTCAAACAAGTCGCTCTGATGGTAAAAAGGAAACTCAGTCTAAGGAGAAATAGCGAATGGCAAACGTTGATGTTCGTCGGGTTTGCCAGATGTCAAATAGTTTGGTGTTTGAGATCGACCTCCAAACTGCGGTTGTTTGAGAGGTAGTTTTGCGGACGAAAGTGTTACGGTAATGCGACTTACGAGCTGTGTGGCAATGTTGAGAACGGTCTTGAGGGTAAACCTCCTCCCGCAGAGGTCGAAGAGGTCCTCGAGGCTTGGACCAAGGAGCTCCATCACCAGAGCGTTGTACTTCCCGCACGGGCCGAAGTAGTACACCTCCGGTATACCCTCTATATGTGTGTTATGAACTATACCGATCGACAAAAGCAGATCACACCCCAGATCACCCCCAAGTGTATGCGCGAAATTATCATAATAGAACATGTAAAACGAAACAAGAGCAGTATTAATGGCTGTAGAACAGGCAGATATAATTCTATGAACGATAGTTCAGTAGTAAACATTTTGTTAACAATAATGTTCAAAATTTTCTAATTCCTCATTTGACGTAGATATGAGAACGCAACGCAAAATGACAAAGAAAAAGTATACAAAGCTTGTACGAAAAAATTTGACATTATACTAAATTGTGATATTTCATGAATATTTTTCATGACTTTGTGAAATAAGTAATACAACTCTCAATGGAATATAACTTAATGTGTTAAGTTTCGGTATGATAAGTTTTTAAATAAATCATTAAGTATTTTTCCCAATGGGAATAATTATAAAGATAATGAATATGGAATAGTACAAAAGTGACTCGCGAAAAACGTCAATGCTGTTGCTCAATATTCGCTATATGTATACTGAAAATTATGAAGTCGCGAGAAATGATGACCTCAATGTTTCTAAAAAAATCGACTCGAATTGGCCGAAGAATTAGCCATTACAAAATAATGCAAAACAACTGGTACCTATATATACATATATATATATATATATATGCAAAAAGCAATACGTTTGTTTCTTCGAGTATGACGCATGAAGTGTACATTTCCGATACAATTTCAACTTGTGACGCTAATTTATGTCGAGCTTTAGTCAAACGTATAGAAATTATATATGTGCACGTGATTGTTTCACTGAGATTTAGCTATTCAAGTTGTATGAAAATTGAAGCATTATAAATTACATATCTCGCATGTCGTACTGCGTCAAATTATGCAAAAGTTCGAACTGCTGCTGGACTATTTTCTCGTAACGTCATCGACGAAAGATTAACGGCACTCTGAAGTATCGAGAACGTTTATTTGAGAGTTATTGATTTATCTTATAGGCGTCATAGAATTAATAAACTACCTTCTACTTCTCCGCCACTCTTTATAAACGTCTTTTATATTTTAGCGCGAATATTTTCTTTCTCTCCAATTGTTTTGTTCAATATATTCTCTAATTTCGCTTTACCTGTATCTGTAAATTTATGTCTTCAATTCATGTCTTATTACGCGAAATCTTGAATGTAACAACGTAAGAGATACTTACCATGTGTACCTAATAATTTGTAAAACCTATATTCTAAATGTAGCTGTGGCGCCTTTGACTTCATTGGTTCCTGCGACAGCAAGCGTAATAAGTGAGGTCGGAAGTGTGCCGAGTTTTTTACGTATTGCAATTACATAAAACGCTCCGTTCTTACTCACCATTTTAATTGCTACGTGCTCATTATTGTACAGGTTCTTCCCTGTAAAGAAAAAGAAAGGTCGACATGAGTATTATAAATGGATAGATAGTGTAGGGGAAAAGGGCACAGCGATAAATTATAACGGAGAATTCCGGGGGCGAGTGATGTCGGGTTATTATAGCAGGGCGCAATTTTCCCTTTTAAAGTGATTCGATTCGATTCACGTTACAAAAGCACGTTAGTACCAATGCACGAGCTACGTGATGTTTCATATAGATATTACGGGCCGATGACAATATGATTGCGCGATAATTAAATGTCGTGCGATAGCTCCAGTTGCTGCTGATTGCAGTCAACGTGAGAAAATTAGATCGTCGAGATCGGCTGTGGTACACGCGGTCACTGTGGAATTATGGTCGTTGGCTATGAAATGCTCTCGCGTAAACTTATCGGGGGGATGTTCCATTTAACACAATCGCATACATAGTAATTAATCCGATAATTTGCACTGTTTCAAAATGTACATAACAAAACTGCGACGCGACGTCAGGTAAATCTGTAATTTAAGTATAATGATTAAAAATTAATTTTTGGCATATAAAGAAGTTTGGTATTATCTGATCAACACCATGAAATGTATCGATCAATAAAAGCTAAAACAATCCAGTCATTTCCCTCAAGAATACAAAGAAAAATAATATTACACGTCGAATTATAGAACTAATATTTTACTGTCAGGATATAAAACGATATTGGCTGTTTTATGTCAAGCTAATCATCTATCAAATTAAAATACTTCCATCACAAATCTAAGTAGAAATTAAAATGTAAGATTATAAAAATAAAAGCTCTGTATACAATGGTAGCAGAAATAATAAGTACACTGCAGATAAATCGTAATTTTATCTGCAAAAGACAGAAAAAAAATATTCAGATCAATTACTACGTATAAAGATAATAAACCTTTGAGACTTTTTCACATTTATTAAAAAATAAATATTTTTTCGCCTAAGTCATACAATGAAGTAATTCAGTCTTAGTTGCAAAAGTCAAACGATCTTTAATATTCAGTCTTAAATTTTTGTCAAAAAGTTATTAGCAAAAATAATTAAATAATAGGTACAATTACACTATGAGAGAGAGAGAGAGAGAGAGAGAGAGGGGGGGGGGAGAGAGAGAAATATATCGTATAACAGGAAACCATTTAAAACAAATTCAGAAAATTAAGTCTTGTCTTTCTGACTAATATTTATTAGTGTGGCCCTTATTTCGCAAAACTGCTTGACGTCGGCGGCTCATTGAATCACTAAGCGTTCGCATATCGACTTTGATGTATTGTGTACCACGCTTTCTAAATTTCTTGCCACAATTGAGCTTTATTTTTAACTTTTTTCCTTTGGATCTGTCTTTTTTACTTCATGCCACAAGTTTTCGATGGGATTTAAATCAGGAGATTGTACTGGCCATTTCATCACAGAGACCTGATTATTTTCAAATCATGTTTCTACAAGTTCCGACGAACATTTTGGATCATTATCTTGCTGAAAAGTCCATATCAGCAGCATATTCTCCTTAGCATTAGGTAACATGATATCATTTAAAATGTCACGATAAATCTCTTTTGTCATCGTTTCCTTGATCCAGTACAGAGGGCCGGCACTATTATAAGAGAAGCATCCCCAAACCATGCTATTTCCTCCGCTAAACTTTACTGTCTTTTTGGTGAATTTAGGATTGCAGCATTTGTGGAGGCCTTTTCACAGTTAATGCGCCATCAGATATAAACAAATTAATTTTGTTTCGTCGCTCCAAAGAATATTTCTCCACTGCTTCTCTCTCTCTTCTCAACAGTTTTTAAATATTTATTCGCAAAGTTAAACGATCTTAATATTCATCTTACTCGACAGTGATACTTTTTTTGAGGTTCTAGCACACAATTTAGCATCTTGCAGTCTTCGATGAATTGTTCTTGCTGGTGCATTAGTTTGCTCCTTCAAGTGTAAAAGAACTCGCAAAGGGATCGGCTTTGCATTTCTGAAATAGTAGCTGAAATAGTAGCTCAAATACTTCCGTTGTTTTTCGAGGTCTCCCTCGTGATTCTATAAACTGCTGTGCTTTTAAGGCGTTAGCAATCATATTTCTAGATCGTTCTATCAATTTAGATATTTCCCCGAGAGATTCTTCATTTTTACGAAGATTTTTTTATCAATCTTTTCTCCTCAGCTGTACAATGTTTCGATGCGCAATATTGCCAATGTATTGCTACGTATTGCAATGTATTGCTATATATTGCTAACATATTCCTACTATTGCTAGTATTGCTAGAATTGCTTGTTTTATCACTGTATTGCCGCAATATATTTCTGAAAAAATATACAGTGATTCCCATAGTGGTTGACCCCTCAATTTCAATCTATTCATTTTTCATCAACTATAAATAAGATTTATCACAAAATAATTTTGGTAAATACTAAAAAACAGATTTATAATCTCTGATAATATAAAAATGTTCAACAAAATTTAATAACCAGAAAAAACCACTTGTATCTATTATTTCTGTTAGTCCGAAATCACATTCTTCGAAAAATGTTTGCATTTACTTAATTTTAGAGATCTGAGATTATTTGTACATATAAACATGTTTTTCAAATGTTTCGACTATTTCAAATGTTTTTTTTAACTAAAAAAGTAACCTAACCTAACATTAACACATGTTTACAGTAACAAACATATGCTATATGTATAGAGGCATATCTATCACGATTTGCGCGTGACTTATGGAGAAATGACGGAGTAGTCGGTTTCGCTTGACGCCACAGAAGCCGGCTAAAGCACAAAATTCAATTTTGTCGTGATTTAATTTTATTTGCAAAAGGCTTCGGCACGAATCTAATAAATGTAACGCGTATAATACGCACTAAGTAACGTGTTTTCTTATTTCACTAATAAGCTAAAGAATGCAAACGTCGAACAAATGTAGCATGTCACCGAGTTGCACGACTTGCACAATACCATTTTCAAGAGAATAGAATAATAAAAACAAAGGCAAAAGAGAATATGACAAAACAGTAAGGAGTGTAGAGTAAAGATAAGAAAAATGTGCGAAAAAACAACACGTCGCGAGTCTTATCATTTAATTCTTCGAATCCTTTCTGCTTCAGGATTTACCTAAAAGAATCGAGAATTTTATCTCTTAAAATTACCAGCAAGGCACCTATCTGTTACCTTTAAAAAAAAATTAAAAAAAAAGAACAGGCTAATATATAGTTTCTCATTCGTATTCGCGAGCAATCTCTTATCCGGATAGCGCTTGGTAGTCATAAACCGACGACGAGGATAATATCACGCGTCGTTGACGCTACTTGACGTCCACGTAAGAAAAATGAAGCACTCAGGGGCCTCGAACGAAAGCACATTCCTGCGGCCACTTGCGCACCTACCTGCGGAGACATAAAGGATGCGGGCCGGAACGCACGAACGAAACTCTTCACCAGAAGCGAAGGTCAATGACTCGCTCGTTCGCTCGCGCGCGCGTTTCGCGATTAGCGGTTCGATACTTTCGCGGTAATTAGTACGATGGCCGCGGTTCTTCAGCTACTTTATTACGCCCATCTTATTCGCTTTTGCTCTATCGTCGATACGCACGATTATTTCGGATAAACGTGGCCACGCCCTTGTATATAGGACCAGCTGTCGCACCACACCATCTCCGACCGCGGAGGACACCCGTGACTTCCTCGATAGAAAGCACCGGTGACATCGTCGAATACAGACATTGCAATACTGTTACCAGACAAACAAGCAATGGTAATCCAATTTCTCTCTTGAGTTAAATCATATTTTATTATTTTTAACTTCCATTGTATCAAAATATAAATTAATCCTTTTCTGTATAGTTAGTTTCAACGTCAAACAATGTCTATATTAACATGTTTAATAATATGTCTATATTAATATGCTTCATAAATAATCCAAATTTTTTTTAGTCAAGTTTAATATATTTTCTTAACTTAAATTGTTTTAGTTAAATTAACAACATATTGAGGAAGAACAATGGCGATCTATACAAATAATTCAAAATAAGTTAAATTGGATATTATTTAACATTATTAATTTAACAGTGAAAGATGTGTATATAGGAATATGTTCTTTTTAGCTGAGGGCTTCTTGCCCGGATTATATTTCCTCTTTTTTTGACGTTGGAGAAAAAATGAGGAAAGAGATGAATAATTCAAGAAATTCAGCTAAAAAAACAGGCCGAATATCATGCGGCCATTACAATCACGCAATCTGCTCAATTTTTTCCATTTTTAAGTCATATACTTTCTATTTCTAATATTAATTCCTGGTAATAATAATAATTTCTGTAATAATAATAATTCCTGCTAGAAATTAGAATCGATGTGGCCAATGATAATACACCGGAAAAAGTCTGACGACACTAATTAGAATTCTGGTTGGATAAATAAACGAATAGAATTTTCCGGTTAAATCTATTATAATTCTGATTAGAATAACCAGAATTTTCTGATTGATATCAGAATCTTCTGGTTCATCCATTTACCAAAATTTTTCTCAGTGTAGCAATAACGGTAAAATAAATTCTAATTAATAGTTAACATCGTTGCAGTTATTATATTAGTTTCATGTGTTCTTATCGGGATGATCTTTCTCAAGCCTGTTCACGTTGGTTTTGTAAAAGTCTCAGCGGTTTCCTTCTTTACTATTATATAAAATAAATTTAGCTATGTGTAGTGTTGCCTCTTCTATAAATTACAAGAATACAGATATTGTAAGGAAATCATATGAAAGTTGCATTTTTTCAGAAATATTTTCTACAGATTTTTTTTATTCTAAATCAATAATTAAATCAATAACGTCCTTAAGTAGATAATTAAACGTGTTGAGACGTAAATGTGCACGCTAGTAATAAGTAGCGATGTTAATAATGACGTAAAACAAGTCGTGATCGATGGCGTGAAATAAAGTGCTGTATATATATATGTATGAAATAATGGTTGCATTTTTGCACGACTCGTCTGAGACGACGCGCGTTAAGG